TCAGCGGCAGAGGCGGCCGGGCGGCGGAGGGCGAGGAAAGCTGGATGCAGCGGGAGGTGTGGATGTCGGTGTTCCGCTACCTCTCCCGCAGGGAGCTCTGCGAGTGCATGCGGGTGTGCAAGACCTGGTACAAATGGTGAGTGCAGGGCCTTACGGGGGGCAGCGAGGCCACGCCTGCCCTGCGCCCTGGCTCGTGGCTCAAACATGGGCACACCAAAGCTCGCATTCGAAAGGGACGCAGCCGGAGGCCGACGAGGGAGGGAGGCAGCTCCCTTCCAGCACCGCGGGAGCTGTCGCTTGCTGGGCAGCGGCACCCTTGGGCCCTGCAGCCAGCCCTGCTTGCTGTTGCCTCCACACGTGTGCCAGGGTCACCTGTCCACGATCTTCCTTCCGTCCTCTTTGCCGGGAGAGTGGCACGCTCTTGCCCGAGCAGCCGTTTCTCTGCTTTTTGCCCTTGCAAGGTGCTGCCGCCCTTCGCCCAGCCGCTGCTCGGCCTCGTCTTGGCTCTCGGTGGCCTCGTGGCGCCTGGCTGGCGAAGGCCGGCTGCGGGGGGGCTGGGTTTGCTGCCTGCAAATGCCTCGGGGGGCAGCAGGCCCGAAGACAATGCTGGCACCAGGACAGCTGCGGATGCAGGGCTTGGGAACAGACGGTGACTGGAAGCTGGGGGGTTTCTAACCGCCAAGCAGCGGGAATGACGCTACGAGAGCAGCCGGGGCCGCTTTGACTGGCAGCTCATGGGGTTTGTGCGATGCAGTGGCTGCAGGAGACGTGGCCACTGCTGCCCGTGGGAGTCCTGGGGGCTGCGAGGCTCTCCCCTTACCCATCACAAGCCTTTAGAGCAGAGCTGGGCTGGACTTGGGTCCAGAGGCTGCCCAGGCTCCCATGGGAGCTGGGTTTGTGTCACCTCCACGCTCTGTCGCAGCTCCTGGCAAACCGAAGAGCCATAGGGTGGGACGCTTCAGCCCTTAGCCCTGGCAGGAGGTGTGCCCAGGACGGGGCAAGCAGACCCACAGCTGTGACTCAGTCTTGTTAGGTGGCAG